CCTCACTCCAGCCCCAGTTCCCTCAGCTGCTCCTCCTGAGACACGTCCCCCAGCTTTGTTGCCCTTCTTTCTCTCTTGCAGCCTGCCTCATAGACATGTCCCACATCCACCTCCATGGTTCAGAAGACACTCCCCGTTGCCAGCAGCCAGGGGACTGTGCTGATGTGAGACACTGCAGCACTCAGTGCAGGCAGAAGTGGTGCCAGCACCCTCTGAGAGGTGCAGGCCAGCTGCCCAGGCGAGCTCTCCTGCCCTGCTCCCTTAATCCCTCCTAGATTTGCAGCTTAGCAACAATAAATGCCACAAACTGCTCTGCTTCCCCTCACCCCGACCCAAAGCTGCTGCAGGGAGGACAGTGGGACTTTCCAACTCAGAACCCTTTTCCATCCTCTGCTTGGTGTTCTTTTCCCCTTGTTTTATAGCCTCAGTGCCTCTCTGCTCACCGTGTGCTCAGGCAGCAGCACAGCACTGACCTGATTGTTTCTGACACGAGCTCTGAAGGGCAGCGAGGATACTGACCCAGCGTTGTGCTAATTTTGATCCTTTTCTTACTGAAGCTAGAGCAGCAGCTGCTTCATGCTCAGATCTGCTTCCCTGCTGATCAAGACAGCACCATGTTGCTTTAGAACCCTGCCTGCCTCTGCCAAGTTACCTTCCCAGCAGCAAAAAGTGCACACTTACAAATGGAAGCGTGAATTTCTTCCACGTATGTTCAGGACAACAATTTTTGACTGGTAATGTTGGTTTGTCTGTGATAATAGTCCACTTTTTCTAAGCCAGATTTGGCAGAGGATCAGGATTTTGCTGAAACTTAGTAAAATTCATAGTACTAAAAGGGAAGAAGTTATAACTCGAAGCAAGAGCCATTTGGATGCTGGTCAACTCACCAGTTGACCGTGGCTGATGTTCTGAGCTGTGTGGTTGTTCCTGATCCCTCCCAGTCCTTCTGTCCAACAGCAGCTTCAGAGGAACTCCTCAGCTCTGGGCCTCATCATTCTACCATAAAGCTGCTCATGTAGAGTGAGTAGAAAAGTGATGCCTTTCCTTCATCTCCCAACAGTAGTTTATTCTTGTAGCTCCTGTCAGATAAGAGGATGCAGCCTATAAACCATCTCTCTGTAGGAATAATTAGATTCAAACAAGTTTAAGGGCATAGAAGTGTTTATGCCACTGGAAACTCTTGATACATTTCCAGCTTCTGAAATAATTAAATCCAGAGCAGGCAAAATACTGATTTTCCTTTGCAAACAGTTCATGGAGCTTACAGGAGGTGGTGATGCCAAAGCTTACACTTCTTTCTTATCTCATTTTGGTGGTGCAAGGAGTTAGCAGTGTCATCTGGCTAAGAAATAGAAGTCTACTACTATTTTTTTTCCACCTATATGCTTTATTGAACTGGAAATAAATCTTCAAGGCTTCTCTGCTGAGCAACAGGGACTCACAGCTTACACCATGGAAGGCTTGTTGTTACTCAGTTAAAATTTCAGCTATGCCATGGGACCATTTCCTCTGTGATGACTTAGTTAGCTACCTCCTCTAAGAGTTTTTAAACTGGTCTTTTTACTTTATCATCCCTTTTGCTTTACCCAACTCAAAAAAACCTGCCTTAGAGACATTTGGGTGTTCTTTGGGTGAATGTTAATTTTACTCAATCCAATCTTCCCTCTGCCTCATAGATCCCTAATGCTGGTGTGATGTCCCTCACTGAGCTGGTATGAAAAATGCAGGAAAACCTGAATATTAACAGTTCCCTGGGCTTTTGCTTAATACTTTAAAATTCAGTATGTGAGATTTTTTTTTAAAGAGTGTTCTTTGCCTTCTCTGATAGAAATCAATGAGCACAAATAGGTCTCTTTTTTAATTAGCTAACATGCATAAGTGGTAACACTCTTTTACTTCAGTTAAACCAGGGAGATATTTTCCTCATCAGGTAGTTATCTGTCAACTGTATAAATCAGTGTTTTGTTCCTGCTCATGTACAGGACATTTTATCACCTCTTCCTGAACTGGAGGAGCAGAGCAATTCCTTGAGAGAATTTCCTTGAACCTTCAGAATTCTCCAGGATTTACTCTGGGGTTTTTATAAGATGTGTTTATTTGTCGTGGACTAGCGATGAGAAGTCAAATCTAATCTCAAGCTTTATATTTAGCTGTATTTCAGGACATTATTTGCTTAGCTTTTTTATGCCAAGCCAACACAATTGCTGTGTTACGAGTGACTTTTTTTACTTGTCATTTTTTATTGCTCCCTCAATGTGTGTTATAGTTTAGCAAACAGTATTGATTTTCTGGTGGTTTTAGATGGATGAAGCACTTTAAGATGCAGGCTAGTTTATCCATGGCCCCTCAGAAGGAACAAAGCTCTCTCAAATCCCCAAATAATCAAATCCAAATTTTCATACTTTGAACACTTGCCACTTTAGTTTTATTTCTAGATGAGAAATGAGACTTTTCTGTTTCCAAAGCTATGAAGCGTGTATTGTTTCTTGTGAGCAAATATCTATGCAATCCTGGTATGCTTGGCATGTGTCTGTTTTCTAGAGCTTCTCCAATGTATTATTTAATTTACAAGTGTGCATCCTCAGAGCTATTTAGGAGTGGTTTGTGCTTTTGATTCCTCCCACAGCTCCTTCGAGTCCTGTTTTGGTTTTTAGGAATTCTGTATGTTAATTCTCTGGCCAGAAACTTCAGGAACGTTGCAACTAAATGCTAAGTTAATTTAGCTTCTGTGGCTGATTGACTTTAATTATAGCATTTATTAAAGAAACTTTATTTTTTTTTAATCTGCCCCTGCATTTAATTTACCCAAATTTGCAAAGTTTGGGCAGTGGATACAAGGAAGCACTTGAAAAAAAAAAAAGCCTCATGGAAGCTGTTAGATTAAATGGGTAGATAGAGGTGGAATACAAGTTTAGTTGGATTGCAGCACTGGTTTATGGGAGGTTATTAAATTCTTTATGGTGCAGTTTTATTAAAAATTACAGTTCTTATTCTTTTATTTCTTTGTTCAGCTATTTATTCCATATGCTGCTTTTCAGGCTGGAGTATTGGGGCTGTCTAGTCTCACTAGTTCTGTCAGTTGTGGTACCTGCTTTAGCTGTCTGCTGCTCTGGCTGTTCAGAGACATTTAAACTGAATTCACAAACTTGCAGATTTCCACATATATCCCTCCTTTCATCTCAAAATATGCACAGTGTAAGAGTGAAGGAACCTCACTTAGTTCTCATTTCAAGCCTGAACATTTTGCAAACCCACTGGCACCTCCTCTCATGGCATTTATGTGGCACCTAGGTTAAAATCTGCTGCTGTGCTGTTACCCACTGTTGGTGTGGATCAGGAGCTGAGGAAGCATTTGGAGAGAGCTGGATCAGATACTCTTGCACAGAGATGTTCTATGTCTAGGTTTGGAGTTTTTTGCAGGAGATAGAGGAGGGAAAAAGGAGTACCTGGAAGCAGGGAATGGATGTAGGGA